ACCAGTGGCGGCCCTTCTGTGGCATGAATGGCCGGGACTGTGGCAAACATTCACAACTGACAAAGGGACTACGTGAGCTGGGCAGGAAGGAAAGCCAGGCAGAGGCCCTGTGCTACTCCGTATGGCAGCATGCAGTTTTGCAAATTGAGTTGGTAGGAGAGCAACTGAGGCCCTAAGTCTCCCTTGCCACCTCTGTGCTCTCAGAAGTCATGTCCTTGTATCCTAATGTCAGAAAGAACTGAGGCAAACAGCTCCATCACCTGTTAAGTGCAGTTCTACCAGAAATTAAATGCAAGCGTGCTGTTAGACCCATCAGCTAGACATGCTGCCTTATTTTTGGTGCAATGTTTATGACAGGTTTAAATGGTTAGCTGATATGCCTGGGTCTCAGGGGCATATAAGAAAGAGAAGAATTGATGCTCCGTACTCTCTGCCTATGCAAAGTCACAGTAATATCCTGGAGAGATGACATAGCAGTGTTGCTAGTAGTGCTGTAGGGGTTTGAGATGGCAAGGTTACCAGTCAGCTGCCATGGTTGTTTTCCAGTTGTGTTCTTTATGATACAGTGTTATTTTTATTTGCCATGATCTTCCATGCAAATCTTGCTCTCCCTCCCCGCACCTGTATAACTGATATATTTGCTTCTAAGTTGGGCATGACACACAGTCCAGGATACTATAGCAAAAGATAGGAAGGCATAGCCCCATGCTGCCCAGGATATAATCTACTTGCTTCATGTTTTTTCAAGCTTAATTGACTGAGGCATGTGAGAGATTACTAGGAAAAATAAAAAGAACGTTAGGTGACTCCATGTTAATCTACTGAAACGTCTGAAAATGCACAGCTGCACGTGGTAACATTGCTCAAAAGTGTTCCGGTAAGGTACTTGTTAGGGGATCTATTCTTCCAGCTGTAACAGTTTGCTAAGGATCATAATCTTTTTTTCTGCTGTTGTTACCAAAAGCAGAGTGACAAGATAGAATATGGCGTAGGGCACAGTATTAGAAGGGACATTACATGCCTGTAATCTTGTAGGCACTCAAGTTTTGAATACCAAAGATAGTCTTTCCGTGCTAGGAAACTGTCTTTTCAGAAGGAAAGTGGAACTTTAATTGTGAATCAGTACATGAACACCAGTCAGTTGTTTTTCCAGCCCAGGTTGTGAAAAGTCTGTAAATCTGAGAGTTCATTACTCAAAATTACTTAAATGTCAGTGTAATATTTGATTCTGAAAAAAAATGAGCAGCAGCTAGGCCAAGAGAGAATGGGAGGTGCTTTCCTACCACAGGGAGGAGGAGAAGGGAGGAAGAGGGCTACCGTGCATACACTTCTCACCTCTGCAGTGTCTACAAGGAGTTTCATAAAAGTACTCAAGACAGCCACATAATTTGAAGGTCTTTGCAGTAGTCACTGTGACAGAAATACCTGTGTATCAGAATATGTCGCCTCACTTTCAGCATCCTTAATGCAGAATACTAAGTATTATAGTATTTCCGTAGTACAGAAATTAGTGTCGCATGTAGTGTTTCCAAGTAGTATAGAAATATACTACTGTTTGCCTTGTGACAAATACTGAAGGAGAAGCAAATTACTCTTGATCATGTTACTGAATGTTTTCTGGACATCCAGAGAAATGAGAAAATTGGCTCGTGTGACATCAGTTCAACAGGCAAAAAAAAGAAAGAGATAAAGAAAGGCAACAAAAAGGAGGTGTTGCCAGGTAATTTATGCATTCTGAATGATGCGAAGTATTTTGCTTACTGAAAAAAGGTTAGTTTCTGTGTGCCTAAAGGCAAAGTATAAATCTCACTGAGAAGTACAAAAGAAAATGTATGCATATACTTTACCCTGTAGGCAAATTTAAATACATTTGTATTTCAGTACCTTGATAGATTCAGTGTTATTGTTTTCATGTGCTTCGCAAAATGTAATTCTTGTGATCTTCCTTTTGCTTAGGCATATATGATACTGTTTAAAAGCTGGCACCCCTTTCTGACAGCTGTATTTGGGAGACTGAGTCATTGCCTTAGCTTTTCTACATGCTTCATTGTTTTGAAAGGGAAGGGAGAAGAATCAAAACAAACACGTGTTTTTTTTCCTCATGTCCTAAAATAAAGGTACATGAGTAAACTGTTGCATAGACTAGAAGAAAGTTTGTTAAAGTCTTTTCCAGTGGTCTATATATTTTCTAGTGTCTCAGTACAATTTGGCAATAGTGGTTAAGTGACAACACTAATATAACAGTCTTGCAAGAAATGGCATGTTGTCCAAAAGCTGCTTCATGGACTGAAAAGGAGCCATAAAAGGACACGCTCACATGCAAAACAATTTGAAAAAACTTTCTTTATTTCTCTTTCAAATTATTTACATGGTGCTGGCTTAAATAAAGCAGTAAGTAATGTGGCTAGTGGAAAATTTTCTTTCTTGAACTTGACTCCAAATGCGCCTTAGAGCATATGTTTGAGCTCCTAGTGATTTCAGTGTATCTCCTGATGGATGGAGTTTTACGCTACCCATTTTCTGAGGCAAAAGTGTGTCTGTCAAAAGTCAGCTCACATGAAGTGAAAGCTCCCTTGCTATGAAAAAATAGCTTCCCTATTCCACAATGCCAGGATTGCATTTCTGTGGTAACATATAGGGTTATATAGAAAGTATTTTTGAAGCAGTTTACTATTCCAAGCAGTTGAATAATGAAAATGTGTATGTAGCATTTGGAGATCTCAAAGTGTTTTAAAAGTTGGGAAAAGCATTAAATAGGTACAAAGTAATTTAATCACTAAGAAGGATGTCAGTTTTGTTTTGTGAATGAAATGACAAACAAGAATGGGAAGGCAGGAGATGCAATTTAAAATGTCAGCGTGGCATGGAGTCTCACACAAATAAATGTTGCCGCAGTCTACAAGCATAACATTTAATCTGTTCTTGAGGGAAAACTGTAATCACTGGCTCTCTTCATAACACAGATAACCAGAGGTATTTATGCGATACTTCCATCACGTACTACAATAGGGGAGATGGTGTTGCTGCTACCCATTCAATCTTAGGATTATGCAACTGTAATGCTGAATGTATTAGACTGGAATAGAGAATAAAATTGTTCAATACCACTCAGGCAGAAATTAAATTCAGGTGGTATAGTGTATGTTTTAACTGTGTTAAACTGCACACTTACTAATTGACCATGTCAGGGGAAGGACTACTTTAAAATAATACCTGCAACATTTGGTTCCTGGTGAATTGCTTTTTTTCCCCCAGTAGGATATTTATTTTGCCCGGAGAACAAATTTCATTCCTATAGAAAAATGAGAAACCAAACTTTTTGGTTTCTTAAATTTGTTTTTTTCACTCCCTTCAAAATTGTCTCCACTTGGGAGAAGAAAAGGCTGTGAAACAAACATTTCCAATCAGTAGTAAGAGCAAATCAAGTGAACCTGGAAGATTTTCTATAAAGTATATTTATGATTTTGGTATCTTTCCTGTTCTCTAGCAAAAATCTGTAGCCATCAAAACTATCTTCATAAATATTTTTATAATTTCATAATTGCCAATGAAAGAAAAGTGGCAAATCATAGTTCTGTGCTTTGTGAGGCTTAGGAAAGAAGTAACTTGTGCTTACTTTAGATAGTGATCATTTCAATGTATGTCTTTCTTTTTTACTAAAATAGTTCACAAGAGTAAGCTGAATTAATACATTATTAATCCTTTGCTTTTCTGAAATTACTTGCCCTTTCTGTATCTTGTTGGGGCCCCACACTAAATCTGAACCCTGAAGAAGGTCCTCTGTTTATGAAAGAACAGATCTTCCTACAAAGGAGGCAAGTAGTGACATCTCCTGTGCTATTGCTCTTCCAGGCCAATAGTAGAGCTATCAAACCTTCCTTAAACTGGAGAAGGAGATCTGAGGTTGAATTCCCATTCTACTTTTTGATGGGAAATGTGAATCTCTGGGGTTTTTTTTTTCCTTCCCAAAAGGGTACTGACTAATATATATATATATTTTTTTTTCAGTGAGGCTATTAAAAAAACCTGGTTGGCAATATCCTTTTAAGCTTTGTATGCAGCTGCCTCACTTACCACCTGTGACACTAACCTCCCCTTGCTTTTTTAATTTTTTAATCTGCCTGTTTCCCAGGGACTAGAGCTCTTTCATATTTCTCTGTAAATAAATTTTTGGCCATCTCTCACATTATTTATGTTGAGCTGAAACTGTAGTATCTGTGTAGGCGATGAAGGCAAGGTTTTGAAATTGGAACCTTGCAGTGGAACTGCACATAATACCAAACACACTGAGTCAGTGTTTAATAACAGCACCTGAAAGCTTGTTATACTTTAAGAATGGTGGGAACTTCCCCTGCTCGGCTCTGGCCTGGGACACACACCCTCTTCATCTGGAATAGCCAAAGAACGGCCCATGACTGAAAAAGGAGCATGATTTTCTACAGGGCAGGACATCCAAAGGTGTCTGGGTTGCAGAAACATGACTCGCACAGTCTGCAGGTCCTAGTATGTTGTGATCTCCCTGACTGCTCTGAAAAGAGCACAGTGAAAGAAGTTGCTTGCTGAACTCCTTTATGCCACTGCAACTGCATCCTTACAGTCAGCCCCTAACCCTAAATTATATTGATATCTGAGGGGCTCTCTGGGGCTGTGGGGATAACTGGGAACGTTTGATAGCAGGATCACAGCCCAGCGCGGTGCTTGGGTACATGACAAATCGGTAGCGTGTCTCTGCCCTTGCTTTACTGTCAGCACACAGGCCACTGGGGTTAAATGGGCCAGGATCTTTTGTCAGTATTTCAGATGAGGATCATACCAACTTATATATGTTTGTTTCACTGCAAGAGAATAGGTTCCATACTAGGACTTTTAAATTCCCATCCCATCTACCACGTACATATATACCTGGCTTGTTTGTGTGTGCATGTGTATGTAGTTATTTACTTATTAATTTTTAAAAGTTTAGTATCATTCAGAGTACTTTGACTTCCTTTTCCACCTAGATCGGCAGACTGGTTATTGGCCAGAATGGTATTTTATCCACACCGGCTGTTTCATGTATTATCCGAAAGATCAAAGCAGCTGGTGGAATTATTCTAACAGCCAGTCACAGTCCAGGAGGACCTGGAGGAGAGTTTGGAGTCAAGTTTGAGGTTGCCAATGGAGGTAGGTTATTTTAATAACGTATTACATCATTGCATCTCAGAATGATGAAAATATGTTGAAAAAGATAGCAAGTGGTTTTAACCAGATATGTTCTTCAGTTATCCTGTTACTACCATGAAGAATGTATATATATCTATTTTTTCTCTGATAGGAGTGTCTTCATTTACATGTGTATTTACAGTAAGCATTAAATGTTCATTGAGGTCTTTGTGATAGCAATAGAATTTCTATAAAAAGGAGATTTGTCTTCTTATTTTCATGCCATTTTATTTAGGCTGCTAGAGCGACAGTTTGTTCCTGTTATAAAGATGACTATGATGGAGCTCTGTTTTGCTCCTATTTCTGTGTTGCTTGTCTTGGCATTTATTTTAGAGCCTGTAATTTCTGAAGTGCTGTAAGCAGCATAACTCATTTTTGTCATGTTTGCCTAGGAAATAACTGCGCTTATCTGAAGAGAACTTTGTACCATTTTAAATACAGTAATTCCAGGAATTTGTGTATAATTTCTGGCTAATTTCTGGCTTTCTGAAGGCTGCAAATTAACACATGTAGATAAGTCATACATCATATATGTTAAATGTTGCGGATTTCCTGTGTAGGAGACAGCACGGTGACATCATTGCTAAAACCTCATACACTTTGCATCTGTAGAGTGCTTTCCATTTGAAAATCTCAAATTACTTTTAAAAATGATGTTTCCTTCCCTGTTTTGAAGGTGGGAAAACTTGAGAAGGGGATGCTCCCAGTAAAGTCCCTTGTTTAACTGAAAAATGTGCAGAGTTAAACTAGTGCAATTTTATAAACAGAACAGCCTTGAATCGCAGAGAGATTAAGGGGCATGTGTAAGGTCAGACAGCGAGAGAGCCACAGCCAGGTTCAAACCATTATATGCATTAGCACGTCATAAACTTTAAAACAGCACATACCACCTAAAATCTCTGTGATAAATGGGAAACAGTTGGTGGGGCTTTTTTTGTGTATTTTACCTTTTTAAAGAAAATCTAAGCATGCTATTAAGCTTTAAAGGTAAACCCCTCCTGAAGCACAGATCACAAAGACCAATTATTTACGCTAGTCAACAAGGACATAATGGAAAGTAACTGGTTTAAGTTGCAGCTGAGAAAATATAGGTTAAGCATTGAGAAGACCTTTTGGAGTATGAGAACAGTTAGTCACCAGAGGAAGCTGCCAGGGGAGGCTATAGGATGACCTTCGCTGGAAATACCATTACTAGGCAAGACATCAGTCTATCAGGGATGATTTACAGCTCATGAAACCTGTCCTCACTCCTTGGATGGGTTTGAAATAGATGCGTTAAAGTTCCTTTCTAGCCAAACAGCTCTGTTATAGTGCAGACTTAAACAACGACGGTTATTTATACGATTTTCTTGGACCATGTGGTACACTGTACCTGAGATGTAACACCCTAATTTACATGGCAGAGCTGCCCTGAATACAGTAGCATTACTAGAGATGGTGGGCGGTCAGTAGTAAAAAGATGGAGACACTGGGTTAGAGTGTGAGGGAGAACACAGGAAGTCATTTTTCAGATGGAAGTGTGCTTCGATATAAATAACGCAGAGGCAGAAAAGCCAAAAAGGGTGTCTATTGTAATTTAGACTCAGTTCTGGCATAATGTATGACATAGCTCATCAGATAATCCTTTGGTTCAAGCCTGCAACTTTTATTTCACTGACAGCAAGTTTTTAAAAATATAGCCAATCTGCAGGATTTGATAATAAAAGCAATATACAACCAAGATGTGAATTCCATTTCTGAATGACGTTAATTGTTCCCAGTCATAACTGCTTGTTAAGAAATTAAGGCATTTTGAATTCCAACAAAGATATATTTTCTTAAGCTGCTGGAGAAAAGCTGCAGGAAACTCACACAGTCTAACCGATGAGACAGTTTTTTGCTGATAATGCAAGTATAATGAAATTATGTGAAACACAAAAGTATCTCAGCTTCACATGTGTGCATTTGCAAAAAGCCCTACCAAACCCCAGAAGCAACTGCTGAAAGACCAGCTTTCTTTAACCTACGTGTTGAGGTTTGCTGGCAAATGATTGGTTTATCTACTTTTTATGAACTAAAATGATGCCAGTAGTGCATTGTATTTCTATTTTGCATTTTTTCAAAGGATGTGTTAGGCTTGCGTTTCCCTGTGATAAAACACTATATTTTACTTTAATGTTCTTTGCTTGGACTTGTTATTTAATAGCTAAGTTACATTCTTTAAAGGTGAGTGCTGTAGTAAACATACTGTTTTCAGTGTGGGGAACATTTTTTTAAAAAATGACCCCCCCCCCACTCTCTTTTGTCTTCCAGGACCTGCCCCAGATGTTGTTTCAGAAAAAATTTATCAAATCAGCAAAACCTTGGAGGAATATGCCATTTGTCCTGATCTCAGAGTTGATTTATCTCGCCTAGGAAGACAAGAATTTGATCTGGAGAACAAATTCAAACCTTTCCGAGGTATCAGTGTGTGCTTTTATGCATAATAATCATAATCTGTTGATTATGATTATTAGACTTGCTACAGAAACATAGCAAGTAATTGTTTGAACAGAGCTTTAATTCTTCAGAATGCCTTACTACCAGTTATCAAAATACTATGCAGTACAGGTAAACGTTGCATTTGTTCTGCACGTAAGAAAACTGAGGCGTGGAATTTAAGTGCACCAGACCTTACCATTTACCCAAATACTTGTGCAGATATATGCACTTAGACCCGCTGTAGTTACACACCAAACATAAGCGCTTTCTGACTAAGAAGAGTTTGCCCAGATAAAGGCTAATTGACAGAAGAGTTGGTGAGAGTCTCACCTTATTCATTCTTTGCTAACAGTTCATTTCTGAAATGTAGGGGGATGCAGAAGTCAGTTTACATCCAGTGACTCCAAATATGAAAAGAGCATTCAAGCACATGTTTAATTTTAAGCATGTGAATAGTTTTATGCTTACACTTGATTTAAAATGAGCTAGCACTGTCATTTTGTCCTGGGTGAGTTAAAAGGGAAAGAAAAAAAAAAAGAAGCAAACCAGTCAATATTTCAAATACTATAAAGCTCTTTCTGGCCTCTGGAACTTTTCCTCATTTTTGCTATCCTAGAATTAAAGCTGGTTTGTTTTCCAATATAACATTGTCTTTTGAGAGAAAATACATGTTGATGAACAAATTCCTTGATTTTAAAGATCTTAAAAATGATCTTTTTTGCTGAGAGAAACATGTCCTTTTGGATTTTTTTGATAAGCCAAAAACCAAAGAAAATTCAGGTGTGGATACTGCTCCAGAGTTATAGATGGGTGCTGCAGTTTAAATTTTTCTGTTTTCAGCTTTTTAATCTCTCCAGCTACTGTTTTTTTTTAAATGAAAACAGGAAAAGATAATCAACAGCTAGGATAAAAGTAGATTAAAAATAGTGCTGGTTTGATTTAATATTTTTCTGAGGAGAAATCACTTCCGAGCCATCTCTCCCCAGAATACATAGTTCTGGGACAGTATGGCTCCCAGGGAACCTTGCTGAAGCAACGTATCAGGTTACAAGTGTATGAATAAGTATAGTTTACACAGGTCTGAATGCAGAATGAAAGTGCAGAAAGAATGAAAATAATTTCAAAATCATTTTAAGATGCCATCTTTCTATTCTTTCATATTTAAAACTTCTGCTTACCCAGTTGTATGAACTAACTCCTGTGAACCAAGGCTACAAAGGTGTTGAAGCAATTGAGAATAAACCAGACCCACTGGATTCTGCAAGAGCTAAAATTATTTTCAGACTTTAATCCTGCATGCACTTTGCTGGCATGCCTATCTTAACATGTGTGAGTAGTTCCACTGAATTTGTGACATTTGTTCATGTGTGTAAAGCTTAGAGCCTCCATAAACATTCTCAGGATTAGGGTTTAGAAGCCATGTGGTCGCATAGTTTTAGTGAATCTTTGAGACTTTCAACATTTATGATAGAATTAACTCATTTTCAAATAGGTTTTGCAGATTGTTTTTCAGCTTTGAGAACTTTTTTTGTTGCTCAGTTCAATTCAAGTGTGTTTTCCTAATGTATTCTAGGCTTTTGTCTCAGGCACAAAAAATGTCTCTGTCATTTTCATGTTATCCTAAAGAAGAACATTGAGGTGAGGTCAGTGTTTCTGAGGAAAACTGGCTGATATTTTAAGTTATAATTTATCTTATAACTAAAAATATTTCAAGATATTAATTTGACTAGATAAAAAGACATTTGTATAACATATGGTCTTTAATTTAATCAGAAGAAGTGTTCCAGGATGACTGAAAAGCCATGCTGTTGACAGTTGTTTGGTAACTGCTTTCATTATGACAGACTTTCACTAATTCATTTTAGTTTTATTTGTTTTACATCCAACAGAGCTAGAAAAATTATAGCTGTCTGCCTCTACACATTCAAAATTCCAATAAGCAAGATATTAGCAAAAAACAGATGTTGTATTTGAACTTAACTTTTCTAAGTCAGTAAAATATAAAATACAAAAGTCTAATGCTGGATTGATGGCAAACTGGAGACAGATATCCCAGGTGCCAAAAATAAAAAGAATAAGGTGTATTTCTGTCCTGATGGAGCAATGCAGATTGATACTGCTGTCAGATAGAAGAATAGAAGCTGTGGGCTTGTCTCAGCATGGACATTTTCCATCCTTTGAGAATAAGTCTATTTAGTTTGAAAAGTCGTTCAGCAATTCAGTGAATGATAAATAAACAGTTCACTTTGGTGTAATGTATTTTCATGACTATTTTCAGTGAAATAGAACTATCTGCTTAGGTTAGCCTGCAGTCCTGTAAGAGGCAAACTGTTGATCTATGCAAAACTTCCAACTTTATAGAAACCCCACTGAAACCAGTGGAAGTCTTTTATGTTGCCTTTGTGGGCTTCAGAGGAAATCCATGATACACAGAGGCTGCATGCTCTGTTTTTAGTGCAGGTACATGGGTTGTTGAAAAGCGCTTGGGGAGAGATTTTCTCTTGCGCCAACTGTAGTGCTTTTTTTAACCTTATTTTTCCAGTGGAAATTGTTGATTCTGTGGATATCTACCTCAATCTCCTTCGAAGTATCTTTGACTTCAATGCTATCAGAAGTTTGCTGACTGGACCCAACCAGATTAAGATAAGGATTGATGCCATGAATGGAGGTATGAACCTACGTTGCTATCAGGGCAAAATTATACCATCTGCAACAGTAACATCCTTCAAGAATATTTTATGCCATAAACCTCAAGTAGAAATTTTTACCATTGCAGACAGAGGTGAGGATCTGTAATAGTTTTGCAGTAAAGGTACAGTGTGGAAAAGTCAGACTTTTTAGAAAGGTTAAAGCTAATAAGAAAAGATTTGAACATTAGACTAGTAACAAAGGCAGTCTTAACAATGGATTAGGCCCCTTATTAAGCAAAGATGTTGATCTTTCATAATAAAAAAGAAGTGAAGGCATATGTGTCCAATAAATGTTTTCTTTCAGCATTTGGAAGCAAGCAGCATGAGGTCATCCTACCATGTGAAGATGATGGAGAATGTTGCAGTGCATAGTAAACCAGAAGGTTACTAGACAGTCTCTGCTAAGGGTAAATGCTGCAGGATTAGTAAGTTTGAATAAGTTGTACATAAGATTCCTTAAAGAGTTGGCTGAGACCTCTGTCTCACTGATGTTAATTGTTAGTAAATTTCAGTGTACTGGGGGCAGGATGGAAGAAAGAATTATAGAAGACAGCAAGAGGACTAATTTTGTGCCAATATTCAGAAACGATAAGCAGTGTCACTTGGAGAAATGTATGCCAGTCTGACGTCACTCTTGGGCAAAATCATGGACAAATTAGTAAAGATTTCCATATATAAAGATTTTAAGGATAGAATATAAGTAACTTCATTCAACATTTTTTTATGGAAAACAACTGTCATCAAACAAATCAGGTTTCGCTCTTTAATGAGATTACACAGACTGATAAAGGAAACTAGTTGGACTTAAAAAGCTTTACAAAAGCTTATTATCTAGTACACTCACTGTTCAAAGGATTATAGTGGGCATGCAGTCAATATGAGCACCCAGTGCCAGGCTGTGGCAAAAGGGCAAATGGTGTCCTTGAACTATGAAGGGGGAGCAATAAGGAGGGGACTGTTTCAGTGTCATGTGCAGCACTGGAGGGAACATTACTGAACGAGTGTTTAGAGCTCTGATGTCCACATTATAGATGTGCCACAGAATCTTGAAAAATTGTAGAGGTGGTAGAAAAGATCCATAGTCTGTTTCAGGGGTTAGAAAAAGTGCTGCATGAGAAGAAATTTAAATGATTGAGTTTGCTTGCTTGATTTACAGGGTGTTAGAAAATTATCTTTATGACTTTGTATCTTCACAGAAAAATAGTCATACTATAAATGTGGTAGTGTATACAAGAGTATTTGCTTATACAGCAGACAAAACTGTTAGAAGAGCCAGTAACGAGAAGTTGAAGACAGACCAATTTAAACTGAAATGTAGCACACCTTTTTAAGGGTGACAGTGATTAAGTGCTAGAGGAATCTACCAAAGGCAGTTGGGATTCCTCTTTTCCTTCGTGTCATCAGATCAAAACGCCTTTCAAGATGGTATGCATTAGCCAAAGGTGAGTCACTAGCCACAATAGAGTTCGAAATATGTGAATATTAGAGGCCCACATATATATGAGGTTAAACTATACCTTCCAAATTTTAGTTTAGCTTTTCAACTCTGAAATATGCTTTTATGCATTTGACATTGATAGTTTACCATTGTCATAGAAAAGAATGATTTGTGAAGAGTCTACTCTTGAGAAGAACCTGAATGATTGAGTGCTGCGTGTTTTACAGTATTGGCATCTACATTTTCTTGAACACAAGTTTCTCACACAGGTCAACCTCAGGGTACAGTTAGCAAGATTTTTGAGTAGAGGAAGAGAGAGAGAGAGGGAGAAAGAGAGAGAAAGAGAAAGAAAGAAAGAACAAGCAAGCATTCATGAGTTTTTCACCCCTGAATGACCTGCTCCCATTTGGTTCAGGGATGCAGAGATCTCTGTCAACTGACAGAGACTGGCTGGTCTCAGTTCAGCCACCAAATGCACAAATGCAGACTTCATACAGATCTACCACTACAGTTTCTCAGTAGAAAGAAAGAACTGGATTGTGGGATTGAACAATGTTCCTTACAGTTGCATAGTGACTGCATTTCTATGTTCTATGTTTAGGAGGCTTTTTTTTCCTACGCCAAAATGAAATGGATTTTTATATTTAGAAAATGATCATTAGATTTATTTAAAATGAAAATTCATTTGTGAAAGGACAGAGGATAGAGTCAGTTGTAAGAAAGTTGTTATTTATTATCTACCTGGCAATAACTAAAATGTGTTAAAATTCTTGGGTGGACAACCCTGTTGTAATTTACTACCAATTAGAAGGCTGAGGCAAGCTTACTCCAATGTGTATTCCCCTGCTGTTCACTTTATTTGCTAATACATAGCAAACTGCTTTTCCATTCCAAGACAGATAAATTAGCATCTTTTTGGTTTTAATAAGGAAACTCCCTAAATGTTAATTTCTGTTAATAAAGTTAATGTCCTAAAACCCTAAATGATAATTTCTTTTACTAATAGTGGGTAAATGAAACCTGCATCTTTCTCCATTCAGTTATTACTTTTTCACCTCCGCTAACTGGGAACTATGTTTTTGGTGCTGAATTGTCAACTGATCATTCATTTTGGGGACTATCACACACTGTTCTGTGAAATAATAATTTTTATTTTTAGGACTGATGTATAGAATTCCAGAAGTTATGTTTTGCATCAAATCTCCATGGTGCTGTGAAAATCTAAATGTCAAGCATATGCTCTTGCAATTGCATGGTATATTTCTTTCTTTTTTTTTTTTTTCAGTTATGGGATCTTATGTGAGAAAAATCCTGTGTGATGAATTAGGAGCTCCTGCAAATTCTGCAATAAACTGTATTCCTCTGGAGGATTTTGGTGGACAGCCTCCTGATCCCAATTTAACTTATGCAGCTGCCTTGCTGGAGGCTATGAGAGGTGGAGAGTATGGATTTGGCGCTGCTTTTGATGCTGATGGAGTAAGTATTTTGGTCTGTCTGAAGGTTTTACCATAGATGTTGTTTTATCTGAGGTCAGAAATGGGACATGTAAGTACAACTTTTCACTTTTCAGTAAGCCCTCAGTGCTGAGGGTGATATTACTTTCAGGCACAGATGATAGCATTTGTATCCATAAATCAGACACATATGGTATAACTTGTCCCTGCAGCTGACTGCAAATCCATCAGGATGTGAATCCAGAATGAGAATTCTTTTAAACATTGGCATGATTTTTTCCTGTATTGATGTAACACATCTCCTCCCTGGGCAGAAAAAAAAAGACATATATAAATGATGGGGACCAATCATAGTAAGCAGTAACTAAGTGAAGTCAGTTTTGGCTAACATCATAAATTGAGTTTTTTTTATCTAAATGAGGTACTGAATCATAAGTTCTGTTTGTTTTTATTTTTCTTTATGTCTTGTTACTAGCATTATAAACAGTAATGTGCTACAGGAATAACTTTCTGACCTGACAGTGTGTGAGAATGAAAAGGCAATGAAGAACAGAAGCTGTTTTCTGTTGTTAGTAAACAGAAATACCCTCCTACTCCCTGCCCAGGGTGTATCATTACCTCTCCCCAAAACATGGGATTTCAGATGCTTTGTTGAATTTCTTGTTTTCTTCAGGACCGCTACATGATCCTTGGCCAAAACGGTTTCTTTGTTAATGCATCTGATTCATTGGCAATTATTGCTGCCAATCTGTCTTGCATTCCGTACTTTCGTCAGATGGGTGTTCGAGGTTTTGGGAGGAGCATGCCTACCAGCACAGCCCTTGACAAGTAAGATAAAACGTTTATTTATGCTGCCTTGTTTTTGACATTAGTTGCTTCCTTGTCTTGTAATACATAACAGTTCCAAAATTGTGAAGTCTTTTGGTAAAAGCTTCTGATTTTCATAATCTTTATGTGCTTCACTGTTTTAATTAGTTTCAAGGATATTTTGACTACATTCAGACTAACTTGCCCAACCTTTGCTTGCATAAAAATAGTTAAACTCAGCCTGAAAGGTAGATGAATCGGTCACATCCTTTTGAGAGTAAAACCACTGGCTGGTAATTTCTTTTCCAAATAACTGAAATCTTTTTCTTAGTGAATAGTGGTTTACAGCATAATCTGGCGGCTTTTCTTATGAAAGCCATGAAAGTTAGAACGGGTAAAGTGCTAATTCGGTACTAAACGAACATTTTAAAAAGTTATTCCTGTTTCAACTAGTTGAATCACAGAATGGTTGAGGTTGGAAGGCACCTCTGGAAATCATCTATTCCAAACCCTCTGCTCCAGCAAGGTCACCTAGAACACGTTGACTAGGATTGTGTTCAGACAGCTTTTGAATATCTCCAAGGAAGGAGACTCCACAACCTCTCTGGGCAACCGGTGCCAGTGCTCAGTTACCCTCCCAGTAAATAAGTTTTTTCTCATATTTAGACAGATCTTCCTGTGTTTCAGCTTGTGCCTGTTGCTTCTTGTCCTATTGCTGGGCACTACTGAGAAGAGTCTGGCCCTATCCTCTTTCCATCCTCCCGTCAGATACTTATACATTTAAGTTATTGAAATAAAATTTAACACTTATTATAATAAAATATTAAATTATTCCCAGAAGGAATTTTAAGCAGTCTTCAATACCATTCCCAATTCCAAGGTAGATTGAAAGTATGCTTAAGCTATTTCTGACAGATATTTGTCAAATCTGCTCTTAAAAAATCCTCTGAAAGTGCCTCCCACATTAGCAGCTGAATTTTGAACAAGTGACATCCAGGCCTAAATTTTCTATAAACTTCAGCATAGGAGAATTAGGCTAAATCTTACTGCTTTAGGTTTCCTATATGCCAAGAACATTCACAGAGATAATTGTTGTATCTCAGTGTTGGCCTGATTGCATAGATTTACTAACACAAGAATGGTCTGCTGCCCCATCGCATATGTATAAACAGGAAATAGTAATTTAAAAATGAAATGTAACTTGTTTGAAAAAATTGATTGCTGTTTGACAAAAACAAGGATAATAGGCTGTTCTTCTGTTCAGGGAATTTCTGAGATTTACTGAATTTAAAGCTAGCTTCTTCCTTGAATCTTCACAGAAATGTTCCTTACTTGTAGGTCGTATGTTTTAAGGAAACACTGTTAGGAAGGATTTTGTTTTATTTTATCTAGGCTGTTTAGAGATCCAAAAATCTTATTTTTTAAGTGAAAGCTACCATTACAGTGAGATACTATAAAAAATAAATGGAGACTCATTTTGGACGTACCACCTAGGATACTCACGTTCCTGAAGGACTTGAAGAGACAATGACATTTAAATATATTTGCCTTTCCTTTTTCCTAAAATTGGGCAAATATGTTAGATAGTATGACTGTACTGAAGTCCTCTTCAATAACACTGTGACTAAACAGTTGTCACAATAGACTTATGTTGTTGACAATGTTTACTTGACCTGCCAGAGCACAGATGGTCCCATGGTGATTACTGCCTTATTTAGTTCTGTAGAGCTAAGGCTGATTATTAAATACAATTGATAATGATGAAAGGATGTAAATATTTTCCCAGCCTTTCTTACAAATGTTTATTATTATGAAGTTTACTCTCTGTACCGTGATTTTTTTTTTCTCCTTTGGTTTTGTGGTTGTCTTTGTTTTCCTGAAGATATAAGTTGCACGTTTTCGAAGTTGGTCACTTTTGTTTTGTGACTCTTCATTTAGACTCAAGACAAACCAAAATTCTTGTGTTCCCATAATAATGTCCAGAGATTAATGTGACTTGATAGCCACGGTTCTTTAAGTTGCTTAACTCACGCCTTGAAGAACTCAGCTTAGACCTTAAACCACAGTCAGTCAGTAGCTGATCCTTGGCAAGTGACTTTTTCGACATATAGGCTAGCTAAATGCATCAGAGCACTGTTGGCAGTATCATAAACACCTTCTCCAAAGTTTCACTGGATAAACTATGGAGCCGTCAGGTCTTCTATGATTCCCAGTGAAGCCCACCTTAAAGGACTGCTGAACTTGCTAGAAAGATGGTTGTCTGTAAGAAGTATTTTTCATTAAATCTGTAGACTGTCAGTGTCTGAAATCCAATATATTGCATGAAGGAGTGACTAAGAGAGAGGCTTATCCTCAGTATAGGTTTGATGTTGAATGGATTCAAATTTCATCTATGTATATACAAAAGGGAAAGTTCTGCTAGTGTTAGGTAAATCTTGCTGTGGGACAGTAGGTGTAGAAGAATACATTTAAGACATTCTTGCTTCCATTCCCAGGGGCTAACTAGCCAACTTGAAAGAAAAAAAAGAAATATGGATCTTGTGTGTTGCCTTTTTCAAGGGCAAAGATGCTCCCTATGTAACGAGGCAAAAAGAAAAAGCAAGACTGAGCAGTTCTACATAGAATTAGCACACCAGCGTAATGTTAGTATTCATACTGTAAAATCCCAATCTGTAGTTCTGCAAGGGGAAGGGAAACAGTTCCTCTTCAAGAATGTGATGGTTGACATCAGGCAGATTTTTATTCAATGTGAGGGACTGCACTCTCTCTGTGTTTGCTGCTGCATATCTTACCTTCAATATAAGTGTATTCTGAGTGCAACATTCAAAAAAGGGTGGGTAACACACTACTTGCTTAAATTCTGCAGTAAATTTCCGGTTATTGCTTACAGCTGTATGTTTCTTGGTCCCTTTTGTTCCTTTCTGATGGGCTGATCTTTGCTGCTGCAGGGACAACTGTCACAGAACCACACTGTACACCTATTTGTAAAGCTGTTTGTGAGCTGATGCACTGGAAAGAAGGCATGTGGCAATTAAAAAGTACACTGTCAATATTAATCCTGGCAGAAAAGATGGAATTGAGCACAGTATCAGAGAATCACAAAATAGCTGAGGTTGAAAGGGACCTCTGGAGATCATTTAGTCCAACACCCCTGTTTAAAGCAGGGTCCATTCATGGTTGCTCAGGGCCATGTCCACTTGGGTGTTGAGTATCTCCAGAGATGGAGACTCCACAACCTCTCTGGGCAAGCTATTCTAGTGTTTCACCACCCTTACAGTAAAAAAGGCTTTTCTCGCGTTGAAACAGAATTTTTTGTGTTTCAGTTAGTGCTTATTGTCTCTCATCCTGTCACTGAACGCCCTGAGACAAAAAGTCTAGCTCTGTGTTGTTCACTCCTCCTCATCAGGTATGATCTCCTGAGCCTTCTCTTCTTAAGGTTAAACAAATGCAGCTCTCTCAGCCTCCCCTCATATGACAGGTGTTCCAGTATCTTAGTCATCTTCAAGGCCCTTCATTTGATGTGCTCTAGTATGTCCATGCTTTTTTTGTACTGAGGTCCAGAACTGGATGCAGCACCCCAGATATGGTCTCAGAAGTGCTAAACAGGGGGAAGTAATCACCTCCCTTGACCTGTTGTCGATGCTCTTCCTAATGCAGCTGTCTTTGCCACAAGGGCTCATTGATGACTCATGTTCAACTTGGTGTCCACCAGAATCTCAGGGCCTTTTCTGCCAAGCTGTTCCCAGCCTGCCATCCCCCAGGCTTTACTGGAGCGTGGGTTATTCCCCCCTAGATGAAGGACTTGCTGTTTCTCTTTGTTGGCCTACATGAGGTTCCTGTTTGCCCATTTCTCCATCCTGTTGAGGTCCCTCTGAATAGCTGCACAATCAACTGGTGTATCAGTCACTTTTCCCAACCTTATGTCTTCTGCAAACTTGCTGAGGATGCACTCTATCCCATCATCCGGGTCACAAATGAAAACATTAAACAGCATTGGCCCCAGTATCAATCTCTGGGGTATACCACTGCTGACTGGCCATCAGCTGGACTTCATGCTACTGATCACAACCTTTTAAGCCTGGCAATTCGGACAGTTGTTAATCTACCTCACTGTCCGTTTATCTAGTCTGTATTTCATCATTTTGTCTATAAGGATGTTATGGGAGACAGAGTCAAAAGCCTTGCTAAAGTCAGGATAAACAACACCCATTGCCCTTCCCTCATCCATACAGCCAGTCATCTCATGATAGAAGGCCATTGGTCTGGTCAGGCATGATTTTCCCTTCATGAATCCATGCTGACTGTTCCCAGGCACTTTCTTGCCCTTCATATGTTTGGAAATGGTTTCCATATTATTTGCTCCATCACCTTCCCAGGGATTGAGGTGAGGCTGACGGGCCTGTAGTTCACTGGATCATCCTTCTTGAAGAAAGGACTAACATTTTCTTTCTTCTAATCCTCGGGAACCTCTCCCACTCACCATGACCTTTCAAAGATAATTGAGAGTGGCCTCACAATGACATGGCCAGATCTCTCAGCTCTTGTGGGTGCATCCCATTGCGTCCCAAGGACAGTATGTCCAGTTTGCTTAAATGTTCCCCAACCTGATCCTCCTCTACCGAAGTAAGCCTTCCTTGCTTCAGACTTTCCCACTCATCACTCTTCTCATTCTTGTCCTGAGAAGAAAGCCCTTGTGTCATATAGTTTTAGTTACAGTAGAAAATATGAATTGTTAAGGCACAACAGTGAAAACTCTGATTGATAGTGAAAGCTTAGGTGGATATAGGTTACAATAGGCTTTGAGAACTCCCTCAGACTTTCCTGATCTGGTAAGATCAGAGTTCTGTGAGTACCATAAGAAGGCCATTTCTGTAATTAACAGATACTTCATATTTATTATTTGAAGTCAGCATTCCATGATGTGTTCTGTCTGCTAAAAAAGTGGTAGAATAAATCACTTTAGTAAATGTTAATTCAGATTGTTAAGTGAATCTTTTTTCAAGTTGTTTTATCAGTATGAA